TAATCAATCCCACTGTCTGTCTAAAGTCTGTGTTCCGGCCAAAGAAGAACTCTTTTTTGTGGGCTTCCTCCCAAGTGCTTCACAAACTCACCGCGGTTGTGGGCAAAGTTTTGCCATTTGAGGCGTTTTTCTGGCACTTGTTGATTGGAGGCTCCTTTCCAAGCTTTGCAACCATCAGCAAAGAAAGCTGTTCTCGCTCGTAGCATTACGTATGTGTGGAAGTGCAAGAGGACGTGCAGCAGCGTAGCATGACGTATGCGTGGAAGTGCAAGAGAATGTGCAGCAGCGTAGCATGGTGTATGTGTGGAAGTGCAAGAGAACGTTAACATCCCCCCCCCCACCCCCCCAAAACCCAGCCAACAAACACAAAGACGACAAGCACACAGAAGAAGAGAAAAATGAAGACAGCACACGGCCCCTTAACAGCGTCGACACCAAAAACATGGTGAAACAGTTGCTGAGAATTGCTGAGACATTGAAACACCCTGGCATCTCACTGATATCGCGGACTATTCCCCGCCTCCTTCTTAATATTTTGGATGTTTGCAACAGGAGCTGAAAGTGTGACTCTGCACTTGATAGCTGCCTGCAATCTGACATGGGAAGTTGGAAGCCGGGAAAACCATCAAGTCTGCCAGATTTCACTCTCAACTCAACTCATCTTCTTTGCCTTTGGTAATTACAGAACAATTACAATACCTGCTCTCTTCCTTGCAGGTCTTCCTCCTTCAAAACACACATGTTGCCCATGTTGCCCATGCTATATGTTTTTTGACAGAAACAAAGCCATGCCACAATGCAGTACAACCAATGCAACGCCTCTGTACCACCCTGGAACTTTTTGATGTTCCACACTAAGCGGTGCTCGCTGGCCAAGTACCTTTCATACGTTTGCCGAAACTTGACAATGAAAGTTGCATCCTTTTGGGCCCTAAATGTTGTAAATATATGTAAATATATGCGTGTATCTGGAATGGATCCAAATGGTTTTACTTCCAGATGCGCTCTCTGCGCATTCTTTCAATGAAATTCATTAGATAATTTAGATTCCAGATATATTTAGATAATTTTAGATAAGGATAAATAAGTTTTAAATAAGGTCTTATTGAGACTTTGGATACCCCCAAATCTTGGACTGCAACGCCCTCAGAATCTCCTTTGACATCCACCTGTTGGGAAACCGGCCGACAATCTGCAGCCACTTTTGTTAGCCTCAAGACTTTCCACCAAACATTGTCATTCTCTGCTTGCCTGCCTCTGAAAGGTCGCAAACAGTGGATATATGTGGATATACAGAAATCATCAGAAATCTATGTCAACATCTCCATCACTGCACTGCCTTGTGGACCCTTAGATGAATCATCCCCGGAAGTGGGCACTCTGCAGATTGCCCAGCGCTGCTGGAAAGCTCAGTGGAGACGGATGCAGAGGTCTAACAGGGCACCATGCATCGCACCAAGCGCACCAAGCATTTCATATTCTTTCAGTGCATTCTCTTCTGGCAAAATCTTAATTGTCCAGATCTTGATAGAGATTTACCTTTCATGTGGGATAAACATAGCACGCGCCTCATTTATCAATCATCCAATGACTGCTGGGAATGTGCTGGTACGGGCCCAGCCATGTAGCGAAAAAGCATGCACAGTTGAAATATGAAGTAACAAGTACGAGGAAGAAAGCGTGAAAGGTTTCTTTCGCATTCTCTTTTGCATTCTTTCATCTTTTTCGTTTTTTTCAACTTTTCATCTCTGTTATCTCTCTTCTGCTTAGCCTTGGGCAGCATGCAGAAGATCTGGACATTGCCACCATAGTTCTGCTCAGGAATATCTGCTCTGACCTGTGATGCAATCGGGGTGTGTTCCTTGAAAATTGACACAGATAACACACATGAAGTTGAGTTGCTTGCACCTGCTGACACCTAAACATCCTAAACAGTTCATAATCAAATCTACCACACCACCTTTATCCACGTGACATTGAGCCATATCAATGGTGGTGTCGTCAAAAGATTGCCAAGGCAAGTCGTGCGGTCTGACGAATTCCATCTTCCTCTTACACGACCTGGTCTCGACCTGGTACAAATGGCCTTGATGGTAATCTCGATCTTGTACGGCGCTTGTTGCTCTGCAAATGGAAATATCCTCTGAATGAAAGTCATACGTATGCTGCAGTGCTGTACAGTGAAGTAGTCATGCTTTAGTCATCCTATTTTGCATGTGTTGTGATGGCGTGATTTCCTCGCAAGACCCTCCTGTTCAAATGCAAGAGATTCTGTCCTAAACGGCACCCGAAAATCTCCAGTGATGCGGTAATTCATGACCTCCAAAGAGCTGGGAATCCTCCACATTCGACAGTTTCATCATGTTTCATCATGTTTCATCATGTTTCCTCATGTTTCATCATGTTTCATCTATGCCAGAACTTTGAAATGTTTGAAACAAAATGACATACACATCACTTGTGTTCTGGTTCCAGGGTGCGGGCTGCAAATTCACCATCGGGCGGGTAGAAAGACAAGGTTCGAAGATCAGAAAAATCCTGCCAAGATCTGCCAAGTAAGTTGGAATCAAATGTGACACAATTGTTCAATGCAATTTTGACACAATGTTTTCAATTCATTTCTTTCATTTCTGTTCCGCAAAATCTAAAGTCTTGGACGTATTCTCGGAAGTTCTCGCCGCTGTCACACGACATGTTTGTGAAACACTTCAGTGCAGAAGGCATGGCATGATACCACAGTTGAAACATGTTCGAACATGTTGAAACATGTTGAAACCTGCAAGTCAACGCACTCGTGGAAATTGCAATCGTCCAATATCACAGATCCATAGCCTGCGACTGGGAAGTCTAGGTCACGTGCGTCTATTGATCTCAACATATCTCAACAATACACATGACACATGAACACATGACACATGATGTCACGCGATCTCGGATGACATCCGATACAGCACTGGAGGGGGTGCATATTTCTACAGATACACTATGATACACTGATACACCGATTTTGTATACGTATAGATGGACCACATTGTTCAATGTACAAACTATGGCCAAGTCTGTAAAACTTCTCGTTTCGGATACATCTGACCCGGTCAGAGGTTCAAAGCACTCATTGTACAAGTAGACCTACAAGTACCTAGACGAGTCATGCTAGAAACTAGTAGAAACTGTCAAACAGCCAACAAAATCAACAAAATCAACAAACACATTCAAAATTAAATATTCAAACACCCGACTGTCAAACATCCTCATCCTCAGAGGTCGCCGTGAGATGTCCGTGTCTGGTGTCACCCAACTGAGTTCTTGAGCCTCCATGGCTTCCCCCGAGGTCCATGTTCTTTACCATAATGTCCTGTCGCGGATCTCACTTGCTACCCTTTCGAACCTTTCGAATCTTTCATGAAGTCAAATTCCTTAAAGTTCCTTAAAATTATTTTTAAATTCTCTTAAAAGTCCTTCAAATTCTTTTAAAATTCCTTAAAATTCTTCAATTTGTTCAAATTTCCTTTTAATTCCTTTAAATTCTTTAAAATTCTTTAAAATTCCTTCTTCATTTTTTAAAGATTCCTTCAAATTCCTTAAAATCAATTCCTTCAAATGCCATAAAATGCCTTAAAATTCGTTCAAAATTCTGGAAAAATCCTTAAAAATCCATAAAATTCTCTTATTTTTTCTAAAAATCCTTAAAATTCCTCAAAATTCTTGAAAATTCCTTCCTTTCTTTTAAATTCCTTAGAATTCATTCCGATTCCTTAAAATTCCCTAAAATTCCTTGAAATTCTCATCCACTTTTCAGGTTCCCTCGGTTCCGTTTTCCACAAGTCTCTGAAAGACTGAGCTCAGATTGAAGGAATTTCAAAAGGAAGAGAATTTAAAGGGAATTTAAAGGAAATTTGAGGAATTTTGGAGAAAATAAGAGAATTTTTAGGATTTTTAAAGATGTTTAAGGACTTTTAAGATATTTTTGTTTAATAAAATAATTTAAACGAGTTTTAAGGAATTTCAAGGAACTATTAAACTTACCCCACGAAACGCAAGGCAAATAAAGGTTTGAACTTTTTGCCCACATCTGCAATAACTTAATGAATGTACCATGGGTTCATGGGGCAACAAAGGTTTTGTAGAGTACTTTGATCCTCTTTGAAACCATTTCTGAAAAGTAGGTTGGGGGGATACATGTCCTTCCATGTCAGATAACAAGGCTACTAGTTGTTTAGTTTATCTGTGACCTGTTCAAGTAGCTCGTGGAAATCCCATCTGGCCATCTGCTGCGTTACAAAAGTGTTGGTTATCTTCATCAAAACCAAGTCAGCACACATCGTCCGCACAGCGGGGCTTTTTTACTGGTGGAATGGTCTTTCTGTAGCTCCAACCTAGCAGTGTGAGGCAGGAGAGCCGGGACTTCAAACCCAATCCCTGTTGTGTCATGATGTGCCGAGTTTCAATGTGAATACCTCTGGTTAGACAGCAACGTTGCTCAACCGATATAGGATAAAGTCTGGAACATGCTAGATAGAAATTGGGCAAAGAAACAATGACAAACCAATCAAAGCCCAAGGGCCCTGAGGAACCTGAAAAAGGCACTGCACTGCTCCGCAACGCCAGCAGCATCAGGAGCAGCGGCCACAGCAGCGCAAGCGCAAGCGCCAGCGCAAGCAAGATCAAGCAGCGCAAGTACAGCGCAAGCCGCCGCAAGTTCAGCGCAAGCAGCCGCGCACAGCGCAAAATTGCAAGAATGACCTGCAAGCACATCAATTGGGAAAAGATTCTCGCCAGTTCTCCGTGGTTAAATGGCTCAACAAGCTCGAGGCATCTCCGTATTCACAATGCTCTTATTTAAGACATGCTGCTTCACAATTCTCATGGATGTGGCCCAAAACAACAATAAACTGGCTCAATACCAACCCTTTCTTGATGACATAGTATCAGAAATGTCCGTTTTGAAAGCACAATCCTCCACGCACATGCTCAGCTTTTTCTTCTCCCGTCTCGCCATGTTACACGAGTTGCTCAAGCTCCAGGGCCAAATCCATGACCAAGCAGGCACAGGCAAACGTCAAAGACTTGCCTAGCAGCGCCTGCTGCTGGGAATCGGTCAAAAGGGTGATGTTGACGCTGTTCTTGTAGCCCATGAGCTTCAAAAAGTCATTGCCGGTCAAGAGCCGGGGACCTTCGAACTCTGGGCTTGCAACCAAAACCTTCGAAGTCTTTGATGGCCGTGGCGTTTCGGCTGACCAATGTGGCCTCTTCTTGCCAGTATTGACAAAGCGGACCACTCCGTCTCCAAGAGTTGGCGGCAGGACACCTTTCCACTTTGGCTCCGATAGGTTGACTTTGACAAGACCAGCGAAAGGATCTGCTGTGGACAAGGTTGGTGGCGCAGAACCTCTCTTCATGTAGGCACCCACAAGCTTGGATGTGATCTTCGCAACATCCGTAGTGCACGAAGGTTTGCGGACCATCGACAAGATGTAGCCGCTCGATGCTTCAGTCCAAGCTCCGCTCCAATTGCTGATTGCAGAGGGGTTGAAGTCAAGCAACGGTTCAAGACATTGGAGCACAATCACCTTCAGGCTGTCGATCTTGGCCAACGCATCAATGGTGCCGGGCAAGGCATCCAGCTTCTCAGTCCAGTTGCCGAGCGCAGCCACCTTCTGCATCGAAGTCTTGGCGAAAGCCTCAAGATCAAGCACTTTGGGCCATGCTGCTTTGCCATCCTTCAAGTACATGACCCGGGATAGCACATCCATGTCAGCCACTGCGCAGCTGAAGACCACCTGGAGCCCAGCAAGTGCAGCGTTCAAGCCGCAGCCCAGCCATACCCTCTCGAACGCCATGGGAGGCGAACAAGCCACAAGCACCGCACGATGTCCCAGAGTGGAAACTGCAGAGATAGTTCAAGCTGACACTGCATGCAACTCTTTCGGCAGCATGGCACAGCCATAAACATCAGGCAACTGATTCTGGTAGTTACTGCCCAACTCACTACAGAATTGCCAACTCGCTACATCTATCAGTCTGCCAACCCACTACAAAACTGCCAACTCGCTACATCTATCAGTCAGCCAACTCACTACAAAACTGCCAACAGCTCTTGTCCCGGACAAGCTGCAAAATTTTCACCTGCCGATCAATCCGGCTACCTGCCGATCAAGCCAGCTTAGCGTAGAACCAAAAAAACACATCGGGCCACCGCAGAGCCAAAAGCGCCAAAAGCACATCGGGCCACCGCGGAGCCCAAAGCACACCGGGGCCACCGCAGAGCCATGGTTCTCATGATCAGGCCGCGTCGTGGTCCTCGTCGTCAGCATCATCTCGCTGCTTCAACTCACGCTTCAACTCCTTGGCACGGTTGTCATGGAACTCCAGCTCGCTTGCCAAAGCCGAATCCAAGTGGCGCTTCCTGCAAAACCAACATCAAAACAGCTGGCCCGACCATGTTGCTAGATTGATGCTCGGCCGCAGGGATGACTTGGTGTTTCAAAATCTTCTAGATTCTAAGGCCGTCAGAGGTTACATATGAAACAAAATCCAACATGAGTCCGCAGTCCTGCAAGCACGCAAGTCAGCCAAATGATCCTTCCACAGCTTCTCGCCGCTCCATTCGATCGTCATGGCGGTGTCAACAACTGCAAAGCTGTCAGGGGCCGTGCTGGACAGCACAAACCAAGGCAAAGGACTGGCATGCATGCTGGTCGCGGACTCCAAAACCGGGAACGTCCCATACGTCAGCTCGATCACTTTGGCTTTCTCCTTCTCACCGTGCAAGTAGTAGTTGACTTCCAAGCAGTGCACCACAGAAGCAAACACATAGATCCCATCTTTGGCAACACGGTCACCAGGCTTGGTGTTCCTGACAAGTGTTCGCATGCAAAAAAAACGAGGCCAATGACAAAAGGAAACAGATCGTTCAAAGGGGGTGCGGTGCGCCCACAAACATCGAACACAGCAACCGCATTTCACCAAGAGTCTTCAAGAGAAAGGCCTTCAGCGGCACCCAGCTGATCTCATTCCAATACTTGGCATCCTTCTCAACCAAGGTATAGTACCGGAACTTGCCATCCTCCTTGCAAGCTGGGAAGTCAGAGCACAAGGATGCGGAAGCAACATGCACTGTCCAGAAAGGTGCCTGCATGCAGGAAAGAGGCCGCGTCCAACATGCACACACAAACTGCTTGGTATACAAGATTTATACCACAATGGCCAAAGACTGGAATTAAATGCGGTATTCTCGCCAGTATTGTCCCATGTATTTCAAGGGTTGGTGACGAGTTATTTCTATCCCTTGTTCTTCCAGGCTAGTGCCTTTGTCATGAATTCTAGCGATGCTGGAATGGGTATCGTTTATGGCGATTAAACTCTTGCCTCTTTTCTGTTCATTGTTCATGTTTCAACTGTCAAATATGGCTATTTCTAGCTTGCTGACAAATTCCTGTGACTACTATACTCAGTTTCTGTCTCACATGAGTTTGAGTCCAGCCTCGTCAACCCTCTGAAGATTCAGACGCGTGGGCAAGGCGATGACTCCCTTCTCCTTTGCGACCAACTTGCCTTCAGCGAAAGCTCTGGTGACCTCCGAGCCATCGCCCAGCACAAACTTCAGCACCACGTACTCCGTTGGCAGGACGCCCGTCACCACAGCCTTCTTGAGCTTGTTGTCTTTGGGAGCCTGCCGACCCCCAGCCAGCAATGTGATGGCCTATAGAAGAAAGCCCATGCTGGCTCAAGGCGTTGTGTATCATGTTGGCAAGGTGTCTTTGGGCATCATGGACATGGATATTGCCCAGAAGCATTATATCCCTAGCAACACCCCTGGAAAAACTCTGGCGCCTGACAGCTGAAAGTGAGGCCCAACGACCGGGCAAGCGAGTGGCTCATCTCCTCAGACCGCAGGGCTGAAAACCAATGGAGTGTGATGACAAAAGCGTCCAACAAGCATCCATAATATTAATCAACACTTTTTGTTGCCGAAGGTCCATCATGGCATTAATGGGGCGAGGATGCAGTTCCACCGAAGTCCACTCCGTGGCCTCCCCCTCACAAAGGCGCTCGTTGATGGCATCGAAGTCATCCCGCCTGGTGGCAACATAGTAGGAGGTCATCGCCTGGCAGGCGAAAAGAATAAATTACACCAATCCATCAGAATTAGACCTTCTCCGTCCTGCCTTCCAACTGCTACGGGTAGGCACGAGAATGGAGCACAAAAGCGCGTAAAATCCCTGAGATGGCAGCAATACAGACTTGAATGGCTGGATACAAAGCCGGTTGCATTAAGGTTTACTGAGTAACTACTGTGTACAACCCAAGTGAGCGTCTATGAGTTCAAGAAAACAGTGGCCTTAACTAAAGCTTCAGATGGATGATGGAAGCATGCTTGTATGGTATGTCGTGCCTCACAATGCAAGCGCTGCTGCAACTTTGCAAGCCGTTGCTGAGTCGCTGGAATTTCATCTCTAGAATGGCAACTCGAAGCTTTGGCATATGAAGCTCCGCTCAAAACTGTCAAAAGCTGCTGCGCAGCCTGCCATGTCAAAAAAACAGCCCTGCCACTAGTCACCGGCCTCACTGCCGCTGCTGCTGCCGCTGCCTCCACGATCACCATCAGGATTTGGAGGCGCGCTCTCCAAAGCTCCACCCACAGGCTGAGCACCTGTTTCTGCTTCAGATGCTGGTGCTTCTGAAGCTGGTGCTTCAAAAGCTTCAGAAGAGCGCGTGCCACGGACGCACCAATGGCTCTCACCGCGCAAAATCTCAGTGCAAATGTGCGCCAAAATGCGCTGCGTCAGGACCTGCGCAAAACAGCAGATTCAACGGGGAAACCAAGTCTGGGCCAGGCCCCCCGCAAAGCCGAGGTTGCTAGTCCCGATAATACGGGGAAACCACGTCTGGGCCAGGCCCCCCCCCAAAGCCGAGGTTGCTAGTCCCGATAATACGGGGAAACCAAGTCTGGGCCAGGCCCCCCCCAAAGCCGAGGTTGCTAGTCCCGGCAATATGTAATACACCTACACTACAGGCCCGAACAGCATCAAACAAAATCAGACACATATCATCAATCCTTCTCCCTTGCCTCGCGGTGCTTCACGCTGCTCACAAATGATGTGCAGTGTGTGTCATGAAGAATGCAAGCCAGCTCGGTTTGGCCAAAGCCAGATGTGAAGTTGACGACCCGGGTCTGAGGAATGGAATACATGTTGAGCAACTCTCGGTGCAGCTCCAGGCAAGAAGTGAAAGGCCAAATGGGGCGAAGTCCTGTCTCTGCAGGCGTTGGGGTCTGAGGACCTTCGCCGCCTGAGGCCGCATCATTGTCATCATCTCCCATGGCCGCAGCCATTGGACGGCAAAGCGCTTCAGCCACCTCCTTCTTCACCTGCACCTGATGCTGCTCTGGGCTTTTCAGCAAAAGACCAGACAAACCACGAGTGGCATTGCTGCCAGGCAAATCAACAAACTGTCTCGCTCGCACAGGCGTCGATGATGTCTTTGTCTGAACGATGAAGCATGTCTCGCATGGATCAGGGAGAAACACATTCGCCCCAAGATTGGAGGCACGTGCCCTCATGCTGGCGTAGCCGCTGTCACTGAACCTGACTGAGTGTTGGCCAGGAGCAATGCAAGATTTCAAGGGTTTGACATGGTATGACACTTCCTGAGAACATAAATAAATCTTTCCGAATGTTTCAACGGCCATGTGCTGAAAAACATTTCTACATGTCATTCAGTGAAATGGTTCTGCTGGTGTCATCATGAATCATGACCACACAACACATCCGAAAATGTCCCCAGCATTTTTGCGGTCAAAGAAACTCCACATTGGAGTAGAACAAGCGCAGAGGCTTGCCGAGAGGCCTTTTGCAGAAGCGCTCCTGCTGCTTCTTCAGCAAACGATTCAAGATGCGAGCCATTCGGTCAGAGGTGCCGGACCTCCGGCCGTCCAGTGTCAACAGAACGTCATTCTCCCTGAAGATGTTCTCTTTCTCAAACATCGCCGTCATACATTGGCCAAAGTGCCCCTCGTCCAATGGCGGGGTGTTCCGCCATGACCGGGGGAAATTCTTCAAGGTCAGCCTGTCGTTGAAGCTCTTGCAATCATAGATCCAAATGGTACGGTCAGAACCCTTGACCAACGCAAGCACTTGCTGCACCGCCAAGTTCCAGTCGGTCGGGATTTCCTTGAAATAGACCATACTGCTCACACCTTGTGGCTACAACTGCAAGGGGCACATGGACTAGATAGAAGCAACAAAACTAGCCCAAGCCCAATTGCCGGAAAATATTTATAAAGCAATGTAAAGCAGTCTATACGTGACTTGGCCAAGCAACGCGTCTGCGCAAGAGTCAGCACATTGGAAAGGGTCTTAGCTGGAGCTGCAGTCAGCGCGTCCATCATGGACTGTGGAAGGGACAAATCTGGGAACATAGCCGTCACCCGATCAGTGGCAGATTCACCCGCTTCCTGGCTGAAGGCAGATTCAAACTATCTGCAAAGACCAGTGGGTATATAAATATATGACGTGCATTGGCATGTGTAATATCTATCTACCGATCTATCTGTCTGTCTGCCTATCTATCTACCCACCTACCTCCCTACCAATCTATCTATCTATATATCTATCTATCTCTCTCTCTCTCTCTGTCTCTCTGTCTGTCTGTCTGTCTGTCTCTGTCTGTCTCTGTCTGTCTCTGTCTGTCTCTGTCTGTCTCTGTCTGTCTCTGTCTGTCTCTGTCTGTCTCTGTCTGTCTCTGTCTGTCTCTGTCTGTCTCTGTCTGTCTCTGTCTGTCTCTGTCTGTCTCTGTCTGTCTCTGTCTGTCTCTGTCTGTCTGTCTGTCTGTCTGTCTC